ATCATTCGAATTGTCCCATAGAGAGATTTGAATGTTATCAAAATCAGCTATATTGGATTACTACATCACAAGATATCACAATTTAATTAAACCTATTTTAATTGTCATTTTGTACAGATTTGAATATCATTTTGTATGAAATTAAATGTTCTTTTGTACGAAATTGATGTCAAAAGGGATATCTCTTGTTGAATTCAAAAAATAGAATGCTTTCAGAACACATTCACTGGCAAATTATTGAAAAAAATTTTAAAGGCCTATCAATTTGAAAAATTGCAAAACATTCAGATGTTAGTAGGTTTTTTATAAATGTGCATTTCCAAAGATATTGCTGCATTGAAAAGCTTCTGTCACTTTCAAGAAAACCATGTTCTCTAAACATGAACGATACAAAATATCTTAAAACTTTATGAAAGAAAAACCTGAATGATACTTTTATGAATTACAATCCGAGATGGAACTTTGGTTGGGCTATATACCGACTTGGATAACGCACAAAAAGGTAATATTTATAGATTTCAAGACTCGCAAAAGAAATAAATTTTGTTAGAACCAATTTCATTTTACGAATGTCTCAGTTTTTCAAAAATATATTTTTTATATACCGAAATCAATCGAAAATCATATTGTACGTAAATTTCCATTTGCATGTGACAATTTCTGGCCCGATTTTTCAGTAACGGTAGCACAAATATAGATCCTCACCATCCAGTAAATAATGATGTAATTCAACTTAAAGTATATGACTTTTTTGACATCATCGCTATAATCTTATACGTATTAATATATAGACGTAAGTACGTACGTTACCAGATACGTGCGTATGTATGTACGCTGCAATTTTTATACCACTCTTTATGGTATGTGAATACATACTTTCTCCTATACATTTATTTTACAATGGATGATGAAATTACTATTATAAATCCAAGGAATTCAAATAGATTCAGCACGATCAAAATTATTAACGAAGAGGTACTAAGTTGGTCTTTAAAAAAAACTGCCACTAAGTTTTCGTATTTCATTTCAAATACTTACTGTTCTTTATTTAGGTTCAAGATGCTCAAACACACAATGATTTAAATAATGCACCGACTTACGAATATGATACTCTTTATGAAAATCAACGAGGGTAAATTCCTGATATATATGTATATATTTTTTTTAGTCTTTGCTTAAAAGCCTTGACCCGTTTCTTCATATACGTAGGTTATTTTTATTTGGTTTACCAAAGTTCAGTTCTAATGCGCTGAATCCAGCTGATCCTCAACCTTGGTGCGACAAAAATTATAAGTAATTGCAATTATTTATTTTATAACTGTCTCTATCATTATATTAAGCCACACTGATTGATATTA